TAAAACTCAATTTTAAAACGTTTGAAGCATACAAAGTGTACTCATCCATTACTAACAGTAGTAATCTGAAGTTCTCTTCCTTTGTAAATGATGTAGATGAATGAATGACATTTTCTGTGTTTTTACTTGTTTTCCATTATTGATATGAAATAACCATATCCTTTCATTACTGTATAATTGATGTGATATTACCTAATCCACATACATGACATTGTGCATTTACAACAACCATGTCCACAGCAAGCTTCATATCAGCAGCCATGTATAATTTCTTCTGTATCTGTAAGTTTACAGGACGGCTTGTAATTTTGCACTATTTTAATTGGGTCAAGTAAATTTACTATAACAAAAAAGATTGTAAAAAACATACCTGAATCAGAGAGGAATATTTTAATGACAACCATAATAATTTTTGGAGAACTAAATCATAGTTTAGGTTAATTACATTTCATTCTATGTTGCCTGGTGCACAATTCTATCTGACATTCTATGCACAATTTTGTGATGAATGATGATGCAGTACTATTACGTTAAGTGAAATTTTTTTTGCTGAGCAAGGTAAATGTAATCAAAATTTTTTGTTGTTAATTGATTTTTTGGTTAACTGGAGCCATAGATAGTAAAAATGTAGAATTTTACACTACTATTTTTAGTTTTGCAATATTTTGATTAGTTTAGCTGCTACAAAACTTCTACCAAATGTGGGACGTCTGTCCCAATTTACACTGCCTGCCCCTTATTACCCCCATTTGACGGTATATCTATATCTGTTATCCAATTTGAAAGTTATTGTGTACATATGTCATGAAGTTAGTACTGATGTTGGTGTTTAATAATGGTTGTGTTGAAAAGGGCCGCAGAACATTAGCTATATTGTACAATAGAATCATTTGTTTACAATTGTACCTTAATAATATGGCATGTTTTATTTCATCAACTTTCTAGTGTCCTGTGCATCTTATTAATAGTGTGTCTTGTTTCCCATGGTGAAATATTTAAGCAGAGTGCAAGTTAATGAGACCTAAATCTTGCAAGTCCGTATGTAGTTCAATTTTTTTTTCTTTTGCTCTTGATTGCTGAAATAGAAATTCACTTGTTTCACCTTATTCTTTTCTGAACTTCAAAAGCATGCTCAAGACTCATTAATGCCAAATTTGATCTACCAACACCTCTGCTTGCTAGTCCCTTCCTGGTGCTCTATTTTGGCAAGTCCAGTTCATTTTTTGCTTACTTGAACCATGTTGTGTCCACTGTCCACCATTTAATATAAATTTACTTTCTTGCAACTCATGCATGACATCATAGTGGCAAACCAAGCATGGAAAATATTTACCTTTTGGGCTGCAACTAGAGCTTTCCTGCCATTTCCAGAACCGCGAGATTTCTGCCAGATAAATTACCTCCTATAGTCCTATCTAATTGATAACAAATTTGCACCATCAGGCCGTGACTTTCTAAATGTAGTAAAAATTCCTCACTTGGGATCCAAGAGAATTCAGAAACAAGTAGGAAAATTCCAATGCTGGTAGATGTTTTCCACGCTTGGATGAGTTCATAATGAGTCTTAAAAACTTTCTGCTTTGCCACTATGTGACAAGTACACAACACATAACACGGCAATTTCAGCGTTTATCTAGGCCATACCGCCATAGGCCTGTTGCCATTACTTGTCAATTCTTAACATCACAAAATATCCACAGCGTGTTGCGGTCTCAAACTTGCAACTCACTAGTCACTACTTCAATTCTGCTGTGCTTAACCACCCGGACTCCTTGCCAATTCTAACCAGATTCCAGATTCCAGAAACTGGGATGCAGAGCTGGGACCTGGTATGATATGATGGGATCAATCCAGATTCCCGCACCTCCATAGTGGCTAAGCAGAGATTTTTTAGAATCAGTTCATTTTTAATTTCCTCATTTACTCAAGATCTAAACCAATTTCTTAGCCTCTTAGGTATGTATGAACAGTATTATAATGCTGGTATCCATCTAACTATCCATGATACTTTACTGGTCTACTTACAGTAACAGGAGAGGGAGATGAATTTGAGGGAGAGTCTAAAAAAAACTCTCTACTTAGTCACTATGCAAGTGCAGACACCTCTCTGCGGCCTGCACCAATTCTGGTACTCTGAAGTTCCGAACTTTAACCACTGGGCAGTGTAGGCACACCACACTGTCCACACAGGTCTTATTTAAGAGTTGAATCCACTGTGCAGAAAGTGGGGATTCACTGGGGAATGTGTCACCAATTTTTGCATTTGTTGCTCAAAAACGTTGCCAACGCCCAACAGTACGTGAGATGAGTCACCAATCATCATTGGATCTGTCATCTGTGAATCAAAATGGATGTTCTGTTTCTCTGTCTGACAGTCTGATGACTCTGATCGTATGGCAACATTGATGCCTGATGGTGTTAGGGGCTCGACATAGTTATTGACAGAGTCTGAGGCTCTGAGCTTCACCGAGATATTCAGATATGTCTGAATGCTGCCTCGTCATCCGCTCATGTCGATCCGGATGATTGACTGTTGAATTATTTCCTACGTTTACACTTTACCCTTCCCCATCCTTCACAGCTAACTAAAAAGTATCTACGAAACTATGAAAGCCGAGCACATGTAAAACTTTTCAAGAGAGTACCGCACCGGTAACTTACGCACGTTTGTCTACAGGCAGCTACAACAGTACAACCGGACTACTACTTGTACAGTTCTTCTTCTTCTTCTTCTTGTTACTTCTTATAGGAGCACTGGAAACTGGTCCATTTAGCCCCTTACCTAAACAGTTTTTGGTTTACGCCTAACTATCATATAGTAACAATCTAAGTATCTAATAATCTGAAAGAATCTGCAAGAAAAAAANTCAGAAGTTTTCAGTCGTTTGATCAGAAGTTTTCGTTTGTTTGATCAGAAGTTTTCGTTCGTTTGATCAGAAACAGAAAAAGTTTTCGTTTGTTTGATCAGAAACAACATAATTATTCATTCTCTTGCATTAAGTATACAAACGATTAGTTAATTCGTAATTCGTATACAACCGTAGTAACGATTGATCATCCCGCTAGATCACCGTTAGCGGGAAAGAAGCAATTCAATTCAGTAGCACGTTAGCTCACGTGCATAGTGGCAAACCAGAGATTTTTTAGAATCAGTTCATTTTTAATTTCCTCATTTTAGTCATTTACTCAAGATTTAAATCAATTTCTTATATATGATAATGCAGGTATCCATGATACTTTACTGGTCTACTTATAGAACTCAAAATTAAACTTGAAGGTGAGTCTAAAAAACTCTCTGCTTTGCCACTATGCTCACGTGTTATGAAGTTCGTCTCGTCTGAACTCTGAATTGCGTGTTTAGTGTGCATGATGAAAAACTCTGCCTAATGATTACTTAATGAAGTTATGAGAGGCGGCATTTGCGACCAGGTCGGTATTGCACTTCCAGAGGGATTAGGCTTAGAGAGTGATGCAGATTGAGAGTTGGTCTCGGAGCAGTCAGATGATACTGAAGCAGTATCACCTTGTTCCTTTTTCCTGCGTTTGGGCATTTTATCCGTTTTTTGTGCAATTTGACGGATTCAACTATTAATGCAATGAAAAAATTCAACTATCAATGCAATAATCTCAATTAACTACTCGTCGTCAGACGTCGATAAATGGGCAGAAAAACTTACACACCTACTTGTACAGTTGTACTTGATCATTTCATTCACTTGGCAGGAAGTTGAGCGTGATGCAACAATCTCTGTCCGTTATTTAACTTAAACATTGACGCAGGAATAAGCCACAAAACACTTTTCATTTAAAACGGGGGATCCGTTTCCTTTCATACAAACGTAATTGCCTGATATTGAGGAAAACGATTAGAATAGGTAGTAATTGAAATTAAGATTATGTTCGAAGTTACAAATGAGCTTGTCCAGGATTCATAGAGGGAAAAAAAGCAGGTCTTACTGAGTAGTATCTAGGTAGGTTATGTTAAAAGAAAGCATAACTGATTAAATACATTTTTAAATAAAAGTAAGGTTAGTTGACTTTCTCCAGCCAACAAATTTCCAGCTTCGCCTAAATCGTTTTCTCAGCAACACATTTGCAATTAAAAAGGGTTTGAACATCTAGGTGTCAGGGTTGCACCGTAGTTGAAATCCAGTATCAGGACTGGAGCAGTGAGTCGCAGGCTCGATTCGAGCTCTGTGCGTCTGATTCTGGTCAGAATCGGCAAGAAGACCGGGCGGTTAAGCAAAGGGAAATTGAAGCAGTGAGTTGCGTGTTCGACACCGCAACAAGCTGTGAATGTTCTGCAATGTTAAGAATTGGCGACAGACCTACGGCCTAGTAAACACTGAAACCGCTCTATATTCTGCAGACCACGCACATATGTGTTGCCGGGTAAATTCTTGAGTTGTTGTTGACCCTCCTCGCCTTGCTTCACGGCGCGAGGCGGGGCCTAGCCCCAGTTCTGGGGCCAGCCAAGTCGGTCGCCCCAGTGGGCCAGCAGCCCCGCGGCGTTTACGGGGCCTTTCCAAATGTCACCCACCGTCAGGGATGTGGGCATTTCAGGGCAGGAGAGAAAAGATGGATGCTGTCGTGCGTGTTGGACAGGCAGAGTGGGCAATGGAGAAGGGTGTGTGGCCGAGTCTATTTTGTTCAGAGATGAGAGAATTTTAAAGAAATCAACTTGCCCAGACCTGCACGAAGGATCCTTGCACAACTTCGCACAAACAATTCACCGCAACTTCTCTCATATCTAAAATTATTGTGTTCATCATCAGCCTTTTGCAGTATTCCAAGGCTGACGATTGACGATGAATGCAAAGAGTGACGACGAATCTAATATAGTATACATTTTGTGATATTAACGCAAGCATCAGTAATTTCTCACCTCATCACATTCGCCAGAGTATTTTTCAATTCTGTTAATAAAACCCATCATAATTCGTAGAGGTCGGCAACTCATGTGCCACTGAGATTACAATGTTTTAATAGAAACAAAATAATTAAGTACAATACAAATTTAATTAATATCTTGAAATATATAACTTACCTGCTAACTTATGAATTGAATTGTGTGAATTATCCAGCAAGTCGCTAAACTAAAACCCTACTAAGAACTAAACGTACTGCAACTAACACACATTTAGAATAATCGAAGACATTCACAAACTTCATTAGTCTGCACAGCATCACCTACAGTCCTACAGTAACATTATCACAAAAATCTAGAGGCAGCTAAAAAAACAGCATAAAGGTTCAAATAAGTTCATTGTTTGTCTCTAATCTGCAAATTGAGAGAAAGATGCAACGTGTAAAATATATACAATCATATCAGGACCACTGACTTGTCCATCCAAAACTGCACTTTCCAAAAATAAATCTTAATGCAATTATGTTTTTGAATGCCTTTCATATGTGTACAAATGCTTATTCAGTTAAAAAGCAATAGAATATAGTTAGAATTTTATCTAGTGTTTCTTTAATTAATACTTCATGCGAGATTCAAACTAATATTAAAAAGGTAGGTTTTTATTCCATCATATTTATTGTGTTGTATGCAATGACGTAATGACTTCAATTAAAGCTTCAAGCTACAATGCATCAATTGATACTTACTTCACCTCCCAGCTAAATTATATATTCAATATGCAAATGCCAGTCAATGCTTGTTTCTTATTCAATGTACAAATGAAATATTTCCCCAAGTTCGATGGAATTGAATCAATTTCAAGGAAGAAAAAATGCACATTTCATACCTGAGCGATCACCAGTACTAACATGGAAGTTGATCATGGAGAACAAATTTTATATAAATCACATACCTACAATGCATAAATAAAACTAGACGATATAGTTGGACGAAGATTTAATTTTCAGTTTCAGATTCTCCTACAAAAATTAGGTTCCAGAGTTGCCACATACACGTGGAGCCTGTCACTAGCGCCTCTGCAACTGTGGTACCAGAACCGTACATATGTTGCGATAGTTATCCATCTCAAGTTCAATTTTCATTAAGCGTGAAAAATCTACACTTTTGGGCTTTAGTTATGTCTACGCAGTGCTGAAATTACTCAGAAATCAATACATAAATAAATATGGGTACGATAATCGGAAACTGCTACATGTCTTAGAGGGTAAACTGATGTTGTTGCTGTTGCTGCTGCTGTTGAGTAGCAACTTGCTGCTGCTGGTGATGATGTGTGGTGCTGTAGGAACAGACGAGTTCACCACCCTGGCCTGCCACGTGCTCCGTGGTGAAGGTGGCGTTGATGCCAGCACCACCACCACCATAATCCACCTCGTATGTGCCATCCAGGTTGTCACCAACTTTCTCGCCCTTGTTGGCCTGCCGTATCAAGCAAATCAATCCTTAAGTTTACCTACTTAACATTACCTTCAGTTATTTATTGATTTTTCTCGCTTAGCCGTTGTTTGATATTACCCAGTGAAACAATTCTAGAAAGTAATGCGCAGTTTTAATAACAAAAAATGAATTATTCACATCTGGCGAAGAAATTCACGCACAAAAAATGTCTTACCAGTTGATCCTTACTCCTAAGAAGACATTCATACTCAGTGCCACAACTCCTAAAAGTAACAAGTAGTTTCAAATAAAAAAATGAATTATTCACAAAGAAGAAATTCATGCACAAAAAAATGTCTTACCAGTTGATCCTTACTCCTCAGAAGACATGAAAACTACAGCTAGTTGATATATTTCAAGAACAACATTTTATTAGGCCATTGGAGTCATATTGCATACATGATACTGTGCATAATTTACATACATAACAAATACACTACCATTACTGTGAATTAGTGGCGAGTATTTGCTAAAAAAAACACTGATGTGAAACAGGCTATCAAATGACCATAAATTTTGCCAGACACAAAAATTATAGCATAATCACAATAAACCATCAACTTGTAGATGGTAAAAAAACTGTTGCATGCCAGCTCCTGACAATTTCAATTCACTAATTGTATGGCTCACCTCTCTGAATTTCTGCAGGTATATCTTGAGGGGCTCCACATAATTTTCGAACCCAAGTGCGTTCATAGCCCACAAGATATCTTCACCGTTAATGGTTTTCCGCTTCTCCTGAAAAATGAAACCCATTAATTTCATGGATCAAAATGAAGTAAAACTCAGTTAACTCACTCATGTACCCATATAAAGAACAATTTGCAGCAGTTACAAAGTGTACATCATAAAGCTAATTTGGAGTATTCTTATAACAATATGATGGTAAGTTACCATGTGGTATTACAGAATTCTACCAGCAATCCTTTGTATAGACTTCAAAAGACAGAGCCTGTATAGAGTTATACACAAATGACTACAGCCACTGTACATGATTGAACATAATCTGGGATAATCAATAATCATGAACATAATGCTGTTTAAAGTGAATCAATAGGGAAATATCGGGAAATATGTTCAAAGATAAAAATATTTGAACAGGCAACAGCAGTATAGATGAGACTTGAGCTTAGCTTACATTTCAAGTTTACAAAAAATATTTATTGTAGAATACTGTCATCATTCAAAGCTCACACAGCAAACTGATTTTTGAATACTGAAATACATCAAAATAGAGAACATTCCTTATTGAAAATTGCATTACCTCTTATGTCATATTTAAAAGAATGATGACAGTTTGTTGAATCATATGAAAAAAATTCAAAGCCTTAAATATCATTGAGTATAATTGATATATTTTTCAAGATAATGATGATGAATTGACTGATGCAAGCCTGATAGACCTGATGAATGGAGAATATGCATAGCACCAACATAACGTCTACAACCATTGAGAAAATCTGGTTACAACAAGAGTGCAGGAAGAATTAACGGCTGCACGAGAAGTAGTTTTGGCATCGATTACTATTGCACTGCGGTGACACTGCACTAGTGATGGCATCCACCTGATGACATCTGTCAGAGGCCTCACTAGTGATGGCACCCACCTGATGACATCTGTCAGAGGCCTCACTAGTGATGGCACCCACCTGATGACATCTGTCAGAGGCCTCACTAGTGATGGCACCCACCTGATGACATCTGTCGGAGGCCTCACTAGTGATGAAGCTGATGAACTCACTGATGCATTCTTGGACGCATTCCCGGGCATCTTTGGCCACCTGTGATGGATGCTCAAATTTTAATATGAAAATATTTATGCATACATTTACACTCCCACTGATAAATGTAAGTTAAATTAATGCAATATAGGTAGTTTACACATATTAAGTATTCATGGTTTAGGGAGCAGGTTTTGTAATCATATATGACAATGATGCAACATAAATTTGTGCTTCCTCTTAAATATTGTCAAGCAAATGAAACCATTTCTTATAGTCTTGTAAACTTATTATTGAAATGTTTTTAAATAATTACATTATCTTTGATAAATATCTATGCTTGCATGCTTAAAATCAGCTCAAAAACATAACTGATTCTTTTTAACAGGTAAGATATCAAAAGCAACACAAGTGCATGCTAATGCTAGCATACCTTGCCACTTCTTGGTATACATTTTTTCATGATGCGTGCCACATTTGCAATGGGCAAGAATCTGTCCTGTTCTCTGAGAACTTCAGGAATTTTTTCATCCTGTTGGTCACCAGAAACTCCACCATCATCACTAGCGTCCATTTCTGAGCGCAGAAATGACATGGCTAGATCCATCTCTGGACCCCCACTCTCCATCATGCTAGTTATTTTATTTTGATATTTGCCTTCTGAGATTAGCTATCAATCCTGAAAAGAATCAAATCGGTTTCAATATTATTGAATATAGTTCAATATCATGTTATTTAGTTATTTAATTTGCCTTCTAAACTTAGCTACAAATTTGGAAAAGAAGCAAATTAATTTTAGTACCATGTAATAGGATTCAATATCATGTTGACCATAGTGCAGAAAGCGAGTGATTATCAAAAGATTATTGGCAACGCTCAGCAGCAAAATTTACGCCTTCAGATCTTGCCGACACATTTGGATTGAAATTATTGCATTTTGAAAATTAATTTGAAAATATTGCAAATCTGGAAGACCGTAAGTGCACACTGGTACGTAGGATGGATCAGGATGCAGTGAAGCTTGTCCGGAAATCAGTTGCAATGATGCAGTGTGTGGAGTCAGTGGAGAGTAAGGGATATATTATCAAAGTTGTTATCAGCATTTTCTTATTAAAAATTACTAGGCAATGGATCCTGAAAAAGGCTGGCAAAGCTTTAGGCTAAAATTCCTTATATAGGCAATGCTGCTTTGCAGTTGCACCCACTGCACCCTGGCATGTTGATATACATAGTAATTAAATTTGCCTTATAAAATTAGTAACCAATTTTTAAATGAATTAAATCTGTCTTAACCCTTTCACGGGTAAGTTACCATATATGATCACTTGAAATCGCATCACAAAAAGCCTCACCATGGCTTCCTGTTTGTTTTTGAGGCATCCTTATACTGCCTCAGTCCATCACTAATTATCTGACCATCATTCTATCTATAGCATCACCAGCTGCAAAGTCCACAAATTGAAATATGAGCATTTAAATGAAGGTTTTGACTCGGACAATGGAATTGACGCTCTTTCCGCATTTTCTTCAAAATTTGGAAGTATCAATAAATATATTTATTTATTTTGGCAACTTGATTAAATTTAATTAAATTAAATTTTTATGTTTCTAATTTTTCATTTGCATAAACTGAATTTTAATTATAAAGAAAAATTTTGTGTAATGATTGCATTTATTGAATTCTTCAAGTGCAATTTAAACCTTCAATAGGCAAAATTTGCAAAAATTCATATAAATAAAATAATAAATGTATAATACTTCTTACTTTCTTGAAATGGTTTCTGAAATTTTAATTTCTGGATATTTCAATGCTTGCCCGCTAAAGGGTTAATATCATTCAAGAATAATAGGTGATGAGTGATGACTAATCAGTAATGATTTATTAAATATACAATGCTTTAATACAATTTAAAAGAAATAATCTGAAATGGTGGAATGAGCTTTTCAGACAGATTTTCATACTATCTTTAATAAATGCACAAATGAAATTACAGAATTTGTGAATAAAAAAAATTATTTAGAGTTTTATAATTAAAAATATAGGTATATCAATCTGTTTTTGCCTAAAATTATCAATTTATCATCTGTTCATAAATTATGTAGGTATATCACTTAGAATTTTCATGACAAAATTAAAATCAGTATTTCATTTTTTTACCTCTATTGCAATTTGCAAACAAAAACAGTATTACTTTAGATTAAGTGCATCCAAAAAAAGGGTGTTTTTTATGTTTAATTATAAGTTTTTGGGTGTAGATAAAGAATCTGAAATCCATTTTTGGCAGTCGGCATCGGAAAACCGATTTTTATATATGCCAATTTTTATATATTTTCTAAGCTAAAATGCAAGTTAAATCTTGGACCCAATATCTGTGGATTTATAGCATTTTCAACTTAGCCTTGGTGACCCATATATTCTAGCAGTTGCAAGTTGCAACCACAACATTGCAGGCAACCACGACATTGCAACCACAGTTAGGTTAGGTTTTTTTCACCGATTTTGGTGATTTTTGCCTGATTTTTTTTAACAAATTAGAGCCTCAGGGAAAAAATAGGTTTTCCGATGCTGACCGCCAAAGAGGGATTTCAGATTCTTTATCTACACCCCAAAAAACATAATTAAAAAAACACCCTTTTTTTGGATGCACTTAATCTACAGTATTACCACAAAAACTATTCAAAATTATAGAAGTTGGAATAGGAAAATTATAATTGTTTAGCCAAATGATTTTGGTAAAAGTTTTGGCATGCCATGACATCATCTTGACATGATCATGAATTCATGATTCATGAATGATGACTGACTGTTTTAAACAACAAGTATTTATAAAGATTATTAAAAGATACATGATTAACAGCTAGCTAGCACAGATAATATAGGTTTGAATTTGATCAGTAGGAATGAACCTATTAGGTATTGCAGATTGCTAAAGCCATGGAGGATTGAAATTGGTTTAAACATAAATAACTATATTCCTATTATCCTAGTTAGGTATATAGCCTATTTTAGGCTTTTAGTTATATACAAATATAGAAAATGAACTAGTTAGGGTAAACGTGGTACTATATTCCGACACATTAAGGATGCATCGAGAAATGAAAAACTATAAAAAAAAACCGTATGCGTTACGCAAGTTCTGTTGCCTTCACATGACTCTCAAAACACTTCACTACGCGTCAGCAACGATGAAACGTCACAAAATGTTGCCATATTTATTAAAAAGCCTTTAGAAAGGAAACCTACCAAATCCCTATATTCCGTCACTTTGTGTGGCAATATTCAACACGTGGTGAGTCGTATTGCATTAGCGCTTCAAATTTAACTGATACGTAATACGTATTGCCGACATCCACGTGTTCAAATTCCGTTTGCTGTGTGAGCTGTATTGGAATACAACACGGCTTTGAATTAGAACACTAACGAATCTTGAACACTACTTAATTACGTTTTAATTAACAGCTATTAGGATTTTAATTAAGCAAATTTCAATTTTTGTACAAAGCTTTGAACGATCTGTGTGTGTCCAACAGTGTGGAATTCTGTATAGGTAATATATTCTCATGTCAATATAAGAAAACGTATTGAAATACCAACCCTACCACCGCGTTACACCACCTTCCACTGCAATGAAAATTGATGAACTGAGCTCATTTGAAAATCGCGTGTGGTTTGAAATCCAATCCCGTGTTGCCAACGACTAATCAAGTTAACTAGTCGTTTATCTGTAGGCTATCGGACACATTTTTGCAATGAATACGTTCTAAAATAAAAAAAAACACATCCAGCTTCATAAAAAATTCTCACGATTGGACATCACCCACAAAGTTTTCGATTTCACACAAAATTATGAGATAAACTTCAACTCTTTCACTGCATACATTCACATGGAGTTTTCTGTTTACTTCTCACAAGACGGTGTCACACACTTATGTTTTGGTTGTGTCTAGTTTGATTTCACAATAAATAGACTTGATTCACATTCCATTCTGAGATTTAAATGAAAGTTTTTTTTAAATTATAAAAACCTATTTATATGTTCCAGATTTGAATTTTTTGCCCTATTATGTTGAATTTATCTTGATAAATTGACTTCAAATTCTGAATGATTTCGTCTGCCATCCCGTGTTTTCGAACGTTTTGTGTCTTTTAGAAAATTTTCGTTGTTTAATATGGGAAACTATTTCATTATAGAAAACAAAGAGCNCCATTCTTCCTAGATGTGTATAAGAGACAGATTTGGTAGAGCCATGTCAACTGTCAAATTTGACACATTTTTCGATGATCTCACCACGTGGCATGCATTGTCTCTCTTTGGATCTCAATATTTTCCCACTTACCCACTAGATGGCCAAGACCCAGTGTTTTGGCAGTATTTTGACTTGCAAATGCATGACGTCACCATTTCAATCATCAACAAACGCATGGAACTAAAACAAAGCTTAATATAAACTATAAAGGAAAAGCTGGAGATGTGACGGAATTACCTACGATGTCGGAATATACCGCGTTTACCCTAGGTACTGGCTTACTGCTTCCAAAAAATATCTGCTTTGCCACTAATCCACTATGCTGTCTAATGACCTAACCTAGCTTTAAGCTAGCTATCATCTTTGCATGTCATGATCATGATTCATGATGTCATCAGCAAATTCAACAGGGATATAGCATTATAGCCTAGTGACAAATGAGACTTTTTACTATCAGTTCATTTTAAATTTCCCCATCTGCTCAAGACTTTAAACAAATTTCCTAGGTATAATAATTCTGGTATCCATAATACTTTACTGGTCTACCCAAAAATGAACTTGATGAAGACTTGAAGAGTCTAAATAAATCTTTGACAGTTGACACTATGGCCTTCACAATTGGTGAACGACTGTTCAATGATTCAATGACATGCCGCGGCGTGGCTTATTCCGCAAATGTAACGAGAATTGTGGAACTACTACGGTATAACACTTGTAAATAATGGAATATGGTGACCAATTTAGATTGCTTATATCTTTAACCTGTAAATTCTAAGAGGAATGTAATGTATCTTTATTTTACTACGTATTCTGCACTTCAACGTCTACGAAATTCATGTGTAAATCGATGCATACGGACATCGGACTTAGTAATGGATACTCTGTGGACACCTTGCAAAGACGAAGACGAGTCCTCACTCCTCACCCCCAGCTGACGTCGTCAACGCAGAATGACGTCGTCATTCAAGAATAGACTAAGCACATTTAGGTAGTGGTAAATTTTTGGACTAGAAACGCCTATAGCTTGGGACATTACGAGTTTAACAGCATCAGAGAGTTGGGAGATATTCCGATTTCAGAGTCAGTTTCAGGTCTCTTGCACGGAAGGAAAAAAAAAATAAATGAAAAAATCGGCGCCGGGCCAGACTTATGCCATTCTCTGCCAAAATTATACTAACCTAGCTTTTGTCTGTTTGCAGCAATATTCCTGAGAGCCCACATCATACGTTTGGTTACATGACTTTTTCAAGCATATTTTTGAAGACCTAGGCAAGAATGTTATATGTACAACAGTACAAGTAATTTCAATCTATCGTTCACAACAACATCGTGAACGTAACTGATAATAAAATTAAACTACTGATTTATTACAAAACAATAAAATACAGAATCTTGTAGTAAACAATAATCCCTGCAAAAAAACGGGACTTTTCCAAGAGACCAATGTAGTCTATAAATTTTCTTGTAATTGAGAAGGTTGTAGACTTCCCCCCAATATGGACTACATCGGGCTCACAACTACAACATTAAACCGACGTCTCACGGGCCACCTTCAGTCTGGTGGACCAAGGAACCACCTGATGGAGGCCCACAACGAGACCATCACCCGTACGGTGCTGGAGGAGTGCACCAGCGTCGTCATGAGATGTCCCGACGCCAACCGACTCGCGATAGCTGAGGCCCTCATCATTAAGGATGGGACCCCGGCGATCAACCTTCAGACTACTGGATTTGTCAGAACATTGAGACTGTTTTCGGAATAATTTTTGGTGCTTTGCTTCTTGATTATCTCAATATTTATGTGATTTTGTAATTATTTCTAACAATTTTTATTTTTGAGTAGTATCCTATTTACATGATTTTGTACTTATGTCGGCCCAAATTTCCTCACTCAATGCGCCTTTTAACTTGATAATGAATGATTGATACATTCGAAACGTTGTTAAAGAAATAAAAATGACCATCGTTACGCTGCTTTTCGATTCACCAGTACAAACGAAAAATATTGTTCGATCTATTGAAAAAACTAATAAGAAAATTGCCAATAAAACGAATTCACTGGTCTTCAATGAAACATTCTCAAAAGTACATGTAATTGGCACGAATTGGGTCTTGGCCTAATATCGTCGCTTAGGGCAGTATTTGCGCAAACTAGACAATAATGGTTAATTTCTCATTCAAGTTTCTTCTTGAGAATCAGCTTTTTCTTCTGTCAGGATTCCGCTTCACCCCATCCGCTCCTCCCACACTACACAATATCAACAAATGTAAAAAAAATACATCATTTGTAACATTTTCGTAAAGATTTAAAAGCAAGGATTAAACCACAAATGTTCATATCTTTATGGAAAACGTTTCGGAGTCCAGCTCCATCGTCAGTTCGTAGAATCTACCATGTTCGTAGACATACCATGCTATGGACGCTGAATTTGAATTTTTACGAAATATATTCTCGCTTAATGGATTTCCGGCAAGTTTGGTGTATACCCAAATCAAGAAATTCATGTCGAAGCGGTTCAGTGAGGTTGCTCCCGAGCGCGATAGTAGGAACGTTATTTATTGTTCTTTTCCATACTTCGGCCCTGCGTCCGAAGCAATGTCAAGAGAATTAACAGCCTTGTTCGATAGATACTTTCCAAACGTCAAACTTCATATTGTTCTGGTAAACAGTTTCAAAATCGGTTCTTTCTTTAGATATAAAGATATGCTCCCTGTTCATATGCGATCGTCCCTGGTTTATCAATTTCGTTGTGCACAATGTGCATCTGCGTACGTCGGGATGACGTCTCGCAATCTTTATTCCAGGGTCGCTGAGCATAAGGGCAGGAGTTGTAGGACCGGACAGTTACTATCGCGCCCCCCTCATTCGGCTGTGCGCACTCACGCCGAGCAGTGTGGTGTCCCTGTTTCTGACAGTGACTTTAGAGTGTTAGCTTCCACCTCCGGTACTTCAGATTTGCGTATTTTAGAATCATTGTACATTTTTAAACTTAGGCCCAGTTTAAATTCAGCTGGTAGCTCCTATCCTCTTGAAATTGTGAATAGATAGGTTTTGTGCCCTGGTACTTGTAAGTTTAGGTTTTTAATTGTGTTTTTTGTGCTTTCAATTGTACTAATTTGTGACTTTCTATGTAAATTATAGATTCTACGAACTGACGATGGAGCTGGACTCCGAAACGTTTTCCATAAAGATATGAACATTTGTGGTTTAATCCTTGCTTTTAAATTTTTGGTTAACTTGCGATTTAAGCAAATAAGTGACATCAATTCTTTCGTAAAGATAATTCATAGCCGGAATGTCATCCATGAAACACAGTTATTTAGTTCGATGTTGTTTACATGCTGACAAGTGACGTCATGATAGATAGCCAAGAAAGTTCAGTTTTTGTATGAACCTCCAGCAGTATTAGTAGTCAATCAAGTTAAGCCAACTTTGACAAAAGGGCCTTTGTGACAAGTCTTCAATATAACTATAAGAAAATAGACAAGCCAAAACCTCTTTATGCTACATCAACACTTACAAACTCTTGTTATATTAACCATATAGGTAATCTCTGTATGATATCTGTCATTTAAAAAATATCTCTAGAATATTTTAATACCCCTTACTATCATTTAGTTATAGTCGCGTTAGAAGTAGGTAAAGGACACTGACCTCAGGAAATATATATGCTGACGACAATCAATAATACTCAGAACCAGTGACAACAAAAACGGCACTGACAATTAAAAAAGTTACTTGCACCAATTGTGCTTCAGGTTTACTTACAACTAAAAGAAAAGAACACCGACATCAAAATATAATTATTTCCGGGATAGTAATAGACCAGGGCATATGTAAAAAAAAAAAACAGAATGATTCGACAGCTTATTCAATTGTAATTTTTCGCATTTTCAATTTGATTAATATATTAATACAGAATAATAGAGACATCTTCGTTGAAGAAAGACAACTGAGGAAAGACAGCAGTGGGATGCTAAGGGTTGAAACCCACCGTGCTTTGGCAAACGTGACGTGGCTTACGGTGGCTACTCGGATCAGCTTGAAGATCTTTCTATTTTTTTTTCAATACTTAAGAAGCATCGATCTTTCAAAATGCTTCTCAACTCAAAATATAAATATCATAGAAGACAATAAACAAGATATTATAATACGGTGCCAATTACTTTAGCAAGGTCAATTTTGCAGAATTCCAATTGAAACAATATAACCTCTTCGGGCAATAGGAAATTTGACAGAACACATTTATTTTAGTACAACAAATAATGAGTACTAAAGCTTAGCATGATGTGAGAAAATTAGATTAAGATTATTACACTTTTATTCTTGCCACTATTCCACTCTTTGGCATCGCCCTCCACACCAGGCTCTAGACACGCTCCTTTCAGTGTGTATCCTTGGAAGGTCAGTGTATATTTGACAACATAATACATGTATACCTGCAACACTACCAGTGGCGAGAAGCAAGCAACAGCATCGTACATCAGGTGGCCCAAATGAGGGCGGATGAACGATAATCAGAGGCGGCGATCCATCGTGGCCTGGGACTGCTATGTCCCAAACAAATACTAAGGATACTAAGGTATGTTGTCAGACCATCGAGCTGCAAAATCGACCAAAGCTTGTGCCGCGAGTTGTTTGTTGTACGACTCATCTTTTGGTCCTCTTGTTCCGAGAATCTGAAAACGAATTAAGTTTTAATGAAGAATCCCTTCAAGTTCAGCCCTAATTCACTGTTCCTGAAGAAGCTTTCTTTCATGCAAAATGTTCTGCGAGTTGGAAAGTGATTAATATGTTACAGTTGAGCATTGTCGACCTAAATGTTTTGATGCCTGTGAGCCTTGCTTTATGAGAGTGTTGATGAACGTGAATGTTGATGAAAGTGAGCGTTGTTTGATGTAGGCATTGGTGAAGGTGAGCAGTGATAAATGTAAGCATTGATGTGAGAATCGATTTATGTTAGTAATGATGCACATCAATGTTGATTATTTCGTAGGTTGGTGCATCTGGGAATTGACGCACGTGAGTGTTGATAGAATTGATGAATATCAGCATATAATCAGTTTATGTATATATTTGTGAATATTGATGAATGTTAGCGTTCATGTATGTTTAGGTTGTGAGTATAGATGGATGTGCACAGAAAGATGTTTCAGCAGCTTGGTTATTAAAATGAGACACGTGAGCGACCGATCAGCGATACTCACAATGCACTATGCCATAGAATATTAGACCGAGAGTGTTGAAATACACTTAACTAAGGAATACCCAAATCCTAAGATCTGCGAATATTGACTTATTTTAGCATAGGTCATACAGGCATATTTTTGCACGCTAGTTAAAGGAAGATGATTTAAGGTAAAGACACAAGGAACAAACCAGCACGTTTGACGCAAGCGTTTGAGGGAGTTGATGTGGTGTCATGCTGATGGCGCAGCACCTTCAAGTGGGATGACTTAAGATAGATGATTTAAGGTAGAGACACAAGGAACAAACCAGCACGTTTGACGCAAGCGTTTGGGGGAGTTGATGTGGTGTCATGCTGATGGCGCAGCACCTTCAAGTGGGATGACTTAAGATAGATGATTTAAGGTAGAGACACAAGGAACAAACCAGCACGTTTGACGCAAGCATTTGAGGGAGTTGACGTGGTGTAATGATGATGGCGCAGCACCTTCAAGTGGGATGACTTAAGATAGATGATTTAAGGTAGAGACACAAAGAACAAACCAGCACGTTTGACGCAAGAGTTTGTGGGAGTTGATGTGGCGTCATGCTGATGGCGCAGCACCTTCAAGTGGGATGGCCGAGCTTCTGGGGGCAGGGAGTGGTTCTGATACCATTTGAAGTCAGGGTTAGCCCTCAAGAATGACTCTTTGAGCTGACTCGCCTGGTCCTGATAGCCTTTCTTCTCTAGCGGATTAAGGATGGCCCACCATTTGCTAAGGACTTTGCTCAGCTGGCGGTTCTCTAGTTTTGGGTGCTCCTTTTGAGCCTGTAATTTACCAGATGTAAGCGAAAAACAATCAAAGTATCTGAGACTGTGTCAGCCTTCACCAGATGTAAGCCAAAAAAATCAAAGTATCTGAGACTTTGTCAGCCTTCACCAGATGTAAGCAAAAAACAATCAAAGTATCTGAGACTTTGTCAACCTTTACCAGATGTAAGCAAATCAAAGTACCTTAGACTTTGTCAACCTTCACCAGATGTAAGCAAAAAACAATCAAAGTACCTGAGACTTTGTCAGCCTTCACCAGATGTAAGCAAAAAACAATCAAAGTATCTGAGACTTTGTCAGCCTTTATCAGATGTAAGCAAAAAACAATCAAAGTACCTGACACTTTTGTCAGCCTTTAACCGAGATGAAAATACATCAAAATCAGAGATTAAACTATTATTCATAATTTTTAATGAAAAAGAATATGGGTATCAACTTGAATTAGTGAAGCATCATCACTGGTTGAAATGGAGCACAGGAATGAACATTGTGGGTAGGTTCAGTTTCTGAAGTGCAGGTTCATCGTAATTACTATGTTGGATACTCAATAGTTCCTAGTGAGCCTAATTGAGAAACATTAGTGATGAATTGCAATCCGAAGTTAAGACTAACCCCAAAATAAGCCAAGCTCTAAAATTATCAATCCAGAACAGAACATAGAAAAATGTTCTTTGATGATTCTTTCTTTCCAGATTTGATGAGCTTCTGTCATAAATTGGCCAATCAACAAGCTGTGGCAGAGTCCTTCCAAGAGCAATCCTAAAAAATATTTACTGAAAAATTAGAAGCAAAAAATTATAACAAAATGGAGTTTCAATGATGAGTGGTAACATGTTAAATGCAATTCCTTAAACTGCTAACTACCCGCTGGTGCAATTCTGCTAGGGTTTCTATTGAACCTTCCAATATAAAGTAATAAATATGATTTTTCTGGTATTAAAATAAAATATTGAAATATATTTTCTATTAATTCAAATTTTCATATTTATTATCAATATAATATGCTAAAACTTGCAATAATACAAAAATTTAGGGGTTCTTTAAAATATTCTGTCTATTTTTATAAAAGACCTGCACGTGTCATTATAAAGCAGATGGTATTCAGCAATAGCCCACCAGTGGGCCATGTTGCACTCAACATTTTAGAGGTAAAGCTTCAATGAAACTGAAACTACAATAGGATTCTCAATCAAAAAGCTGACCTTTGTGCGTCGCTTCCGAAGTTATAAATTTGTGAGAACAAAAATGATTTTTAGTCAAGATTATCCAAGTAAACATTAACTTCACAGTTTAACACCGAAATATTTAGAGAACTAAGCATGAGGCTGACCTCTTTGCGGTACTTGCGGCAGAAAAGGAGGTAGGCATTCATGGGACGTCGTGCTGGATGCTGGGAGGTAATATTGTCTTTGCCTTCTGGTGTTGCAGTTTTTGCCTTGCCAGTAAATACATTGAACTTGGCATCATCAAAAGAATTCTGAAAAAAGTTGGAAGCATAATTACATATGAATTTTAAATTAATTTATTTTAACCAATTCAAGACTTTGAGTTTTCAGCATCATACTGACACAGTTGCAATAATTAACTCATGAAATGAATGACCCATCTTCCTATAATCTTGGACTTCATGACTAAAATGGAGTACTATTTTTTTCAGTGTGAAAATTATAGCAGGTAAATGCAAGAGTGAGGTGTTGTGCCCACAATCACAGCATTGCTATATTGTAACTATTAAGAAATCTAATTTCATACTGTAACAACATCTAAAGCAAATTAACTTTTTCTTTCAGGGTTGAATATGTCATGGTTTCCATGTCTAGAATCTTGCCAGTTTTATTGAGGATTTGTTGCCAGAATGACCCAAATCTTAAAGAATTTTTGTTAGAAATTACAGTAAAAGAGATGTTTGCAGGGAATTTTTTTGCTTATTTGTCATCAAAAGCCTTCAGATTTTCAATCTTTCTCTGCACCCTGGCAGTGTAGAGTGTGGTTCATGTTGGAATGTCAGATGAAAAATTGCATGAAAAAAATTACTTGTGAGGCTTCACTGATGACTTCCAAAAATTGCAGGCAAAAATGTGAGTCATTATTCTAGTTGAAAAAAATCAGGCAAAAGAAGAGGGTTATCAATTAGGGTTAAAGAAGTTGAAAGGGTTAATCAAGATTAAATGAATTGTCTTATTTTTCAATATTTTAAATTGAAACTTGTTCAAGTCAAGAGCATCAAGAAAATAAAAAAGTTTATACCTACAATATTTCACAAATTACCAAATAACTTATAATTACTACTTGCAATTATCAAACTTGTATAAGTACCTTAGTAACATGACAAACATCTGTGGCAACATTTTCATCAGATTTTGATGGCCTGACTTTGGATTTATCTGTGCAATCAGAAGCTGCAGATGACCTTCCACGTCTTCCTCTTGATCCTCTTCCTCTGTCAGTGATAGGGTGTACTCGATGTGCACCTCTGCCTTTTCTATAGCGTGCCATTATTTCCAAGTTAAAAATGCACAAGTTTCAATTATTCAGGTTCACAACCTGATAGCCACTGTGCAGGGAGTGGATGAATATTGCAAGATCTTTGGCGACGCTTCAGTAGCCAAATTTTTGCCTTCAGAAGATCTTGCCGACACATTTAGATTGAAATTCTTGCATTCAATATATTTCTCAGTCTTCGGCCAACTATTTAGAAAAAAAGTAAGGTTTCCGGTACGTTGGATGGATTACGATGCAGCAAAGCTTGTCCGGAAATCAGTTGCGATGAGTTCCCGCAAAAAATGTAAACAACAAGTTTACGATTGCGTAGTTGTGGTCACATTAGAGCGGTCAGACTGCTTTATTACATGTTCAGTTGACACTTGCTGTACAATTGGACTGTTTTTAGGGTAAAATTAGTTATTTGGAGTAACACGTGCATGCAACCTTGCAAATAAGTTCGTGGCTTGTAAAATAGTTTGTCATTACTCAGCGTAAGTGGCTTTTCATTAAAAATTACACGGCGACGCATCTTTAAAATGGCCGGCAACGCTTTGGGCTTAAAAATTCATATATTGGCAACGCTGCATCCACCCTCTGCCTGATAGTAGTTTGGCACTTGAAAATTAGAGACTCATTTGACTATTTGATTGTTTAAAGACTCATCTTCAACTCAGGATTGGAATTTTCCAAACTGAGAAAGGATACGTTCCGGAAGGCAGGAATCATGATGGTCCATTACATCCAGGGCAGTGGTGGTCTTCGGCAGGCGACCCCATTAATATTAGCATGAACAAAGAAGCTCTGGCTGACACCTGAACATTGAAACCAAAGCCAGCGCAGCTGTGGACCAACAACCCATCTCATTAACAAGCCCTAGCTTCTTCTTTTCATGGTGTCCACACTGGGTGGACTTAAGGTTGCGATTGAGAACCGCGAGCCCTCAGGAAGGCTTGGCTGGATCCTTCTGATGATCTATCACTACGTATAGTCATTCTAACTCCTCTCGTAAATGAAATATCAATCTTAATTTGTCATGCTTATTCAGCTATTTATTTACAATTTTTCCAAAGTAAAAAAAGATGTAAATTTTGTATAGCATTAGTTATGATAGAAGAAAAGGTTGTACATTGATCAATCGTTGTTCTTACTGTGCGACTTACCAAATTTTGTGAAACATAAGGAAGTAGAACTATTTATTCTAGATTGATCGGTATTAAAGACATATCTGAGTCAACATATATTTTACTGTGAGGCTCACAAGTGGGTTGGTTTGTTATGAGCACCTTTCACTGTGAGGCACACAAGTGGGTTAGTTTGTTATGAGCACCTTTCACTGTGAGGCACACAAGTGGGTTGGTTTGTTATGAGCACCTTTCACTGTGAGGCATACAAGTGGGTTAGTTTGTTATGAGCACCTTTATCAAATCATCGTTATACGTTAAAAGGCTTGGCCACACAATTTGTTCAATTATGAATGAATCACGATTATTAATTACATTAAGAGATGAAAATGTTAGTTGTTCAGAGTTCGAGGTTTATAATATTGTATGATAGTATCAAAACATTCTTCATCGCTTCCTCCCTGTGTCTTCATCGCTGTGCGGGCTTAGCACCCTCAGTGGCACCCACTGTGCGGGGCCGGCACCTTCAGTGGCACCCACTGTGCGGGGCCGGCAGCCTCAGTGGCACCCACTGTGCGGGGTCAGCACCCTCAGTGTCAGTGGCACCCACTGTGCGGGGTCAGCACCCTCATTGTCAGTGGCACCCACTGTGCAGGGTCAGCACCCACTGCGGGGTCGGCACCCTCAGTGGCACCCACTGTGCGGGGTCAGCACCCACAGTGGCACCCACTGTGCGGGGTCGGCACCCACTGTGCGGGGTCAGCATCCTCAGTGGCACCCACTGTGCAGGGTCAGCACCCTCAGTGGCACCCACTGTGCGGGGTCAGCACCCTCAGTGGCACCCACTGTGCGGGGTCGGCATCCTCAGTGGCACCCACTGTGCGGGGTCAGCAACCTCAGTGGCACCCACTGTGCGGGGTCGGCACCCTCAGTGGCACCCACTGGGCGGGGTCGGCACCCACTGTGCGGGGTCGGTGCCCTCAGTGGCACCCACTGTGTGGGGTCGGCACCCTCAGTGGCACCCGCTGTGCGGGGTCGGCGCACTCAGTGGCACCCGCTGTGCGGGGTCGGCACCCTCAGTATAATAGTTAATATTTTATTGTTTGTGTCAATTATAATGCTGCACCCAAGTGCAGTTTTTCATTTATGGAGCGCAGTTATTTTTAATCTTTGATGAACCATTTAATGATGCATGATTACAGTTAGCAAGAAATTAATGCTCTGTGCTGGCTTAAAAAATGTCACGAAGTTACATTACACTCATGGTGTTCTTGGATGAAGAGAAAGAGAGATAATGAGCCTGATGAAGAGAAATGCGTTAGCTGTTTCTCTCTATAAAGCTCTTGACAAGATTAAAACAAGATTAGCTTTTGTTTTACTTGCAAATTATTAAATACGTGTGCCAAGTTCCATTGATCTGCGTTCATTTGTTTTGGAGATATAACTCGTTCATTAAATTTGGAGGCCGACGGTGAGACCGGCCGTAAAATTGTCCGACACGTCATTTGCAGTCCAGTGATTAGGATTGCTTAACGATAAAGATGCCGGGAGCGCAGCCCTACACCACAAATTTAGCTCATAAACAAGCCCTAGCGCCAACGCCTACCCTATAATGCAATAACTAAACTCAGTTCACACCCAAAAAGCTGTAGGTAACTGAGTCATCTCCCCACACCAACTTTAAGCAACACCTACCTCACTCCACAGCCTGCGGAATCAAATAGTCAATTGTCAACAGGTCCTACTCATCTAATGGCTTTAGGCACTTAATCACACAGGCTAATATGCCGTCTAGCGTGATTACGAGCGGTCTATACTGCGTCCCCTGAAGGTATAGCGATTAAAATACACATAATTGTAATAGTAGAATGCAGACTTAAGGAGGTAAATGTCTCAGGATTGCACAATATACTCTCGGTATATGTGGTCAGTGAACCTAATAGTCATTCAGCAAACTTTTTTTTTAAGTTCTTGAATCATAAAAAACGACGCGAGGAATCGGGTGCTAAAATATTTAAATGACTGACGCGCTTACCAGATGACACTTGAAATACCAGATTTGTTCATCTAGTCTATAGAGTAAATAATATTCCATCAATAGATTTTTTTAGAAGGAGATTTCTCTGGAATATAACTCAGACGTTTGCTCATCTATGTGCAGCCTCTGAGCTAGTGCATATGGCAATGGTCAGGGGCGTCAGGTGGATTGAACAACGATTGGTCACTGGTGTAGAGATCCATGCTCACATAGCTAATACGTACAGCCGCTGTCATATGGACAGTATATGCTTCAAAAATTATTCTAAATTTTCATCTTTAGTACATATTTCACGTATCTTGATGAAGAATATTCTAAACCGATCCACGACTACTGTATACTACGATGAAACTCGATCAATTAGAAAACATTTTCATACAAAACTGAACTATTCCACCTCCCCGCTCTCGAGCCTACTGGGTTCTCTTCAATAGCTGGAATACTGTTCAAGTCCGCATCTGCGAAGACGCTACTAAAGAACCAATCAAAAATGTTAGCTTCACCCATATCAGATTATATCTTTAATTGATCTTTCAAATCAGAGACACATGGTTTGTTTTACAGTTTGAAATGGCAAATGCAATTAATTAGTATAGCTTTAACAGTGAATAACAATGGCTGGCGGTGGCTCTTGCCCAACTGAGCCTCGTGGCGAAGCTTGTCTACCACTTATTCTCTACTAGTAAACACAAGACTTGAAATATGTACAAGTCTCTACATAGATAATAAAAAACGTAAAAATTGTACAGTTCCTTTATTTTCGGGAAGAGGAGCAACCACAGCTTCTAGTGACAAATTACTGACCTCAGTTGCATACATTAGTTTTATCTAACATGACCTTGGGCACAGACAACATTGGGAAGTTTACGTGATCTTGGGCGTAGACAGTATCGGTTAGTTCAGTCTCAGAGTTCCTCCTTTGGGTTTAGGCGCTACATTATTCGCTCCATGGAGCCATGCAATGTATCTTATTACGCGTCACAAAATGGGTTTTAGTCGCAACGAAGGTTAATCGGTACGCCGTATTTGAAAAATACTTTAGTCTTCTCAAGCATCTCTTTCATTTTCATGAACTTGCCCCTTGAAAGAATGTCTTGAAAAATTCCTAAAATATCCTGGACGTCACAAGAGGGATTCTGTTCGAGTGATGAGGCATATAGATACGTGCCAACAATTGCCGCAAGTGACAAAGAAGTAAATCTGCCTCTGCATTGTTTTAAAACGCAAAATATCGCATTTTCGTTAGATAGTGCATGAAGTAATAGTCGATCGTGGTCGCTTCGTTCAGAATGAACTCCTCGAAGTGACTCAACAATATCATAAATACTCCGTTGAGTGCTGGGAGAGTTTCCAGCGTTAACAGCAGTTCCTGGGGAGACTATGTCAACTTTGCCTGTGAGATGCATCAGTGTAGGATAATCCGCGGGACAATCTCTCACTCGGACACATGTCTCGACGCTTTTCATCATCGGACACATGTCGATGATATCCCCTAGTATCTTCACATCAATGGTGGCATCCGACATCCTGAGTTCCACCAAATTTGGACAATTTTTCAGCACCCGCTTCGCCACCTGTCCCAGGGGCGCCGCCCCCAGCACCCTCTGGGCATGGTGCCCCACGGCCTTGGCGACCTTCACGTGAAGGCCTAACTTCTTCACCGGAGTGAAGTCCAGCGTCCGCCACCTTGGGCTTGAGGTGATAACCTCCCTCCACCGCGAGCAGACGTCAAGGACCGGAGGAAGGTTGGTTATGTTGAGGAAGGAGAAGATTGACAAGAGGACTTCGTCGGGGAGTGAGAGGATGTGCTGGGATTGGGAGACTGCAGGGGTGTACGCTGGAGGGTCCGCAGGGGGATTGGCAGCAGGAACTGCAGTATCGGATGTTGCCTGGGGGGAGAGGCAAAAATAGGATTAGGAAATCTGTTCTTTGCATTTGCAGCGAAGCTAAGTTATTCATACTTTGTTTATTG